TATAATACAAGCAACCGTTAGGCGAACAAAACTATTATACTCTGTAGCAACAAGTTGCGAAAGTATAAAGACGGGTATCACCTTATCCAATATTTTAAACTGAGCGAGGATGTTTCGCTGCTTTTTGGTAGAACCGAATCAACAACTGCAAAAAAAAAGACGATGTACAAATTTCGAAATGTTTCATTGCAGCATAAAATGTTTTTAGATATGTGACTTGGCCATATCACCTATACTTCAAACCATTACCCAGTTAGACTACCTGATGCTTTGAATTTTGCAGGGAAGTCCTACACATTTATGGTGTTACGTGCATATATGTTACATATTGATCTATAGTTGTATAAAAGTTTCAAAACTCTTATAGGAATATTAATATAATCTTAAAATCAAATAACATACTCATTCGTTGATAGAAAAATAGATATTCATGGATATATGACATTCCGTAAAAATTTCTACGCACCCTAGAGAGTTTACTTTTATTTTTTTATTAAAACGGAATCGTATTTTTTTTTCAAATCATTGTCACATTTCAAGTAGAATCAGGGCCGGATTTAAATTTGTGTCACCCTGGGGCACTGAAGAATATGCCGCATTATGATAGAAATTAATAAAAATCTTATTTTTTAAGAATCAGAATAACTAATTAATTGCAGAAAATTTATTATGTATTATACATATATTATTTATTGTACGGTGATATAAAATTTTTTTGTGTTTTCTTTGAATTATAAATTTTTCACTAAGGACGACATTGCATTATTTTTTTTTTCACAGGCAAACTCGCCTGACTTTTTGAATTGCAAACTGGTCGATTAAATCTTCACAATCTAAACGTTGAAGTCCATCTAATTCTATGCATAGAATAGCGAAGCTATTAAGCCTATTTGCACCCATTGTAGAACCTAAGTAATGTTTAACTCGTTTTAAACAAGAAAACAGTCGTTCTCCGCTACAATTTGTTACATCTAAAGTTATAAATATTCGATAAACGATTTCTACGTTTGGAAACTATTCGTCGTATTCGTAAAAGGTCGTTGAAGAAGTTACTGAAGATCAAAAGGTGAATTTTTTTCCATCTTTTTTTCGGTGCAATGAGTATGAAAGTGCACAAATTCATCATCTAATGAGGACTCAAGATCTGAGCAATATATTTTCCTCAAACGTTTGGCTAGTTTACGAGTTTCCCTATCATCTACATCACCAAATTCAATGATAACCGAGAGCTTTTCTTGAATCTTTTCATATTCTGTACATCTTTTACGCAACCCAGATCCCAGACTGTCAAGAATGACATTAAAAGTATTAACTCTATACTAGTCTCGACCTGACAGCTGCACATCTCCATATCGTGTTTCATCAGCATGTAATTTTCTCTTTCTGTGTCTGGAAACTGTTGTTTTATATTCTTGAATTTCTGAAATTTTTAAAGCTTTTTTTCAAATTCATTTCGCGTATCAGCAAAAAGTTTGGTCAAAGATGATAATCATCGATTACATCAATGCTACAATAAAATTTTTGCAATCTTTGGCTTACAGCATTAATTCTTGAGAGTAAGAAATGCCAAAGTATCTGCGTAAATGCTGTTTCAAGTCGTTCCAATAGAATTGAAATACCGTGTAATTCCGTTTTCTTCGCTATCTTCTTCAAGAATAATCAAAGTCTCAATTATTTCAACAAAATGTTGATTAGGTGCTTAAACCCCTTCATAATGAGCTGACCATCTGGTTGCAGATAAATATTTTAACGCAATTCTTTTTTCAGTATGAGACTGTAAGACTTCCCAGCGATGCGTCGATGCAGTAAAGAAATTGTATAAAGTTTGTACTGCATTAAAGCATGACGCAGCTTCTGGGGCGCATTCTACTGCGTGAACTCCAACTAAATTCATAGAATGAGGAGTTCTGCAAGATTATTAATTTTACGAATTCTTGCCTGTAGGCCCAAATAAATCCCTGATATATTATTTGCGTTATCATATGACTGACTTCGACAATCTGCGAGATCAAGATCAAAAAACTCAAGAATAGATAATACAGCAACTAGCAAATCTTCAGTTTCATGTCCAGAGTTCTCAATAAACATGAGAAAACGTTCAACAGGCGTTCCATCATTTTTCACATATCTGATAACAAAAGAAAGTTGGTCGACGTGAGATATGTCAGGTGTGGAATCTACTATTATTGCGTAATATTTCCTTGAATTTGACTTCTTGAACAATACTTTTTGTGCTAAAAGCTGTATAAACTCTTCATAGATAGTTTTGGATAGGTAACTTGTACTGACAGATCCTTTATTTCCAAATTTTCTAATATGTTCTTCGTGAAATGGGTCAAAAGATAGCAGATACTTTTTGTGCTAAAAGCTGTATAAATTCTTCATAGATAGTTTTGGATAGGAAACTTGTACTGACAGATCCTTTATTTTCAAATTTTTTAATATGTTCTTCGAGAAATGGGTCAAAAGAAGAAAGAAATTCCATCAGCATCAAAAAATTGCCATTATTTGGTGAGCCAAATTCCTCATTACTACCTCGGAATGGAAGTCCTCGAGAAGCTAGGGTTATAGTGGCAGCCTCTACTCTTCTTAAAACATTTCTCCAATACGAGATCTCGTCTCTGTTTGAATAACTAAGTCATGGTCTATTCTATTCTTTGTATCTGACCTTTGCTTAAGGGTTAACATGCATTTTTTATGAGTTTTAGAGCTTTCATGCTCATTAACACGAACGCCTGCATGTTTCCAATCATTAAATCCGATTTTGCCATTAAATGAACAGTCAACATCAAATAGAAGATATGCTGCACAGAATACCGATTCTTTACTAACTGAGTAAACAAGCCATGGACGTGGAACTTTTTAACCGTTAATAGCGAATGCTTATATCAACAAAAAAAAAATCATTGTTATATTCTGTAAAATATGGAGCTTAATAAGACTCTCTCGACAAACCTTCATTTTCAAAATTTGTGCAATCTTTATTCATAGATTCTGATTTCTTAGTTACACATTCTTCCTTTTTAAAACAATCATCCAACTTAAAAGTTATACTCAAAACCACTTGCTCCTTTTTAGTTTTATCCAAAGCGCGTTTTCGATACTTATATCCACTTAATTTTTTGCGTTCATCAAAATCAGATTTTGTCAAACAGCTGTTTTTTAAAAGTAAACAAGGGAAAATAATAAAATGGATAGCCAAGAAACGTAAATAATTTCGCAAATTTAGTAATTTTGATGGAACAATAATAATTTTGATTCTTTTTAGGCATAAAATACATAATGCAACATTACATAATGATACGTTGAATGCCTTAAGACAAGGATGACATGATGCGAGACTCTCTCATTTTCGCTGACTTTTCTGTTATTCTCTTTCCCTGTTTATTAAAATCAGGGAATTTCGAACAGCTGATGTCAAAAAAGGCGGGATGCCAGAAATAAACCTGCTAAAAATAGCTAACAAAAGCAGTGCGAAACGAAATTTCAAGGAACGACACAAATACTTTTGAATAACGTGCAACTAAATTTTATTTGTTAATTTATTTTAAAACGTTCATTATAAAACCATGATCTTTTATTATGATATGTATTGTTTTTTTGTTATATTTTTTTAATTTATATGATAAAATTTAAAAATTTTATAATATAAATACAAGTATATAGTGATGTATATGCGTTATATAGGCCTACTCGGGGACGGAGCACCTAAAAATAATATCAATATGCAAAATACTCACAAGTTTTTTTTATAATACCCAATCCATTTTCGTTCGACAGTGGCATGATTGGCAAATGTTAAAAAAAATGTGGGTTTTGACAGCTCTCTCTCGATTCAAAGAGTCTCGCATCATTTCATCCTTGCTTAACATGCCTAACGCGAACAGCAGCCAAGTAGAAGGACGTAAGTTCAAAAGTGTTTGTGTGTGCTTTGCCATATAAAAATATGTTTTCTGCACATACAGTCTTAAGCACATTGCAACTATCGAGCGCAGAAAACTAAGACGCATGCGTGAGTGACTGGTACAGGAATGACGGAGTTTGAGGAGCAGGAGCGCTGATATGATAAATTAAACAAAAGCCAAATTGGTGATTTATGTGAGAACACGTTATATGGCTGTTAGTTTGAACAAAGAGCCAGTGAACATATTTATGCGCAATTTTATGTTTGGGCTTTAGTAACGTATTACATCCCCGAATTTGGGGATTAAATGGGTATGGACGGATTTATATGTATATATGGGCAGATATATAATTATATAAGAAAATTGGGAAAACTGTAGTACAGCATCCGCCGAATTTGGGGAAAAAATGTATATGGGCGGTTAAAGGGTGTTCTGCAGATTGAGAATTATATGAGGTATATTTTAGTGTTTAAATTTTTGAACTTTCATGTTTAGATCAGAAAATTTACAAATTATAATATTCTAAATTTGAAGAACATCCTATACTAAAGTTTTTTTTTAATCTTATTATATATTACATGTTTGTGTATGTATCGGTTTTCAAGAAAATAATTGGAATGGACTGCAGTTTCGGGTAGTCGGGACTTTCCGATTAATTTACAACCGTGACAATTTTATCGATATAATATTGTAACGGATTTCTCGATAAATCGTCTACCTGTAACTCACTCTTGAGTTCGATCACTGGATTGTTAAATAAAAGTCCCAATTTAGTGGCTACACACTTATCTTTATTTCTAATTCCAACAACTTAACACTTATTGCTCGTTATTCGATCTTACAACTTCTTGCTTATAGCTTAATTGCTCTTATCACGACTACACTCTAACTAGAACTGTGTTTGCTGCACAATCCGGCAGCCCTTATATAGTAAATCTTTAACAAAACATTGCTTCTAGAACATTCTGGCCACTACGAATTCGCTAACTACTTTACTACTAGAACATTCTGGCAACTACGAATTCGCTGTCTAGTTGCTGGCAATTTATCGTCGATTCGATTTTGTTCTATCATCCGTGTTCGTCACAATATGTTAATCGATGAGTGGTGTCAGTATGAGTACATCACTGAATGTTTAGATGTCGCTCGAGGAAGATTGATCTCGGGGGAACAATAAGTTTCATTATATTAAGTATGTCGGATTGGGCTCAGAAAGCGGAGGATCAAGAAATATCCAGACTGGTATGATTGTCCCGTTTTGTTTAATCTATATTTAAAAATATGTATGACTTAGGTTAATTGTCTAGAAATAAGGAAGGAGGATGACAAAGACAAATTTGTAGAAAACGCTGACGTCCCCAGGTAAGGCTAATTAATTTTTTTTTGTATTTTTTCAAGAAACATAAACTCGTTTATTGCAAGAAATGTGCATAAAAGTCGCCTCAAAAATTGGTAATATATTTGCCAAATAGATAGCAAAGATTTCGTGCCAATAAGAAAATTTAACCACTTGTAATGAATTGTAAAACTAACTATTAATTGTTCTGAAAATAGCGAACGCAATCACGTTGAAAACGTTCCGTAAGCATAAAACTAGTAATGGATTTTCATACTTTAAATTTTCCATGAAGTTTGTAACACCCAGATCTCAGGAGAACTTATAATTTATGTATAGAAATGATCAGCAGTTAACTGAGCCGAATTAGAAAGATCCGTCAATCTGAAGCCATGATGCCGACTACTTGGGTATGGGCTAAGGCGGAACGTTTTGGGATAAAGGATATATAGCCAACTCAGACTTATAGATTTTAAAATATTTGTTTTTACAAGTTCAAAGATTTCGAAACATATACATAGATGCTAAATTGACTAGGTATAATACGCTCTTTATTTTTTTATGGGTTTAAAAAAAAGGAAATTTACAAAATTACTTGGTACACACTCGCAGGTTCAAAGATTTGTGTTAACTTGTTCTATAGATGATTAAGCTGTCACTTGTTCATCATGAACAGGTCTAGTAAGATTTCCATGTAAAAATGGAATCATTCTATCAATCTACAAAAAACCAACCTATGTAATTTAACAGCAGCAATCACATTATATGATATGATATCAATGTCAACATAAAAAAATATTTGCACCGAAAAAATGGGTCGGCTTTAGAATAACGTCCCACGGTTTCGGGGATAAAATGGGTATGGGCGGATAGAGGAGATCCTCCAGATCAAGAATATATATAGATATAGCCGCGGGAAACTTATAGTTTTCGAGATAATTGGGTTTAAAGTTCAAAATTTCAACTAATTAAAGTACATATTTTTGCGATTTAAAATGAATTATACACATATATTTGCACTTTTATATCCACTAACACTTGACTAATTCGTTTTTAGAAATTTTTTTTATATTAGATGCTGCAAAAATAGCTTTATTTCAATATTTAAATCATTGTTCAATTTTATTAATTTTGACAATAACAAAATGGTTGTGAATGTCCAAACATCAGTGTTGCCATACTAATATATTTTGTAAACGAAGAAAAATAAAATAAACAGAGAGATTGTACCCTAGATACAGGAAACAACGCAAAAAGAATTTCTGCGCGTAAAAACTTTGATACACCCCGGTGTTGGACCGACCAGGGTTATTTTTTTTAAAGCGCGGCCGAAGGCCGCCAACGCAAAAAGAAGTTCTACAAGAAAAAAGTAATATTGTCATAGAGGGTATAACATAATACTTAACATCAATGCTTTGTAATAGTTTATTTCTCTAGGTTTTGGATTCCTATATTTGGGGTATAATCTGTTTTAATTTCTTTCAGTTCAATTACAAAAGATGTCGATAAGGTAACACTGGTTATTTGAAATTTTGCAACCCTTTTGTTATTGTCAGAATTAATAGAATTTAACAATAATTCAATTATTGAATTAAACTATTTTTGCACTATATAATGTAAAATAAATGTGTACAAACGAATTAGTGAAGTGTTAGTGGATATAAAAGTGGAAAATATAAGTGTATAATTCATTTTAAATCGCAAAAATACGTACTTTAATTAGTTGAAATTTTGAACTTTAAACCCAATTATCTCGAAAACTATACGTTTCCCGCTGCTATATCTATATATATTCTTGATCTGGAGGATCTCCTCTATCCGCCCATACCCATTTTATCACCGAAAGCGTGGGACGTTATACTAAAGTTTTCCCGAAAAAATAACTATAAATCGAGAAATTGCAAGAAAAAATTTGTAAAATTTTCAATTTAAAATGAGAATATCTCGAAAACTATAAGTTTCCGGCGGCTATAGTTATACATATATATTCTTCATCTAAAGAATCTATTCTATCTAACCATACACATTTTAACCGAGAAATCGTGGGATGGTATATTAAAGTTTCCAACAAAATTGAAAAAGGTGTGCACAGTGTGTTAAACATAGTGAAATAGCGTGAAGTACTTTTACGATTTTTGAACTTGAAATACAAATATCTCGAAAACTACATTTTTTTATCCTGAGGACCTTCTCTGTCCTCGAATCGTGACGTTTAGGGAACTCAGAAATTAAGCACTTATATTAGCTCAACCGATCAAACCGCATTTCATTGCTAAATGCAAGGTATATAAAAAACATTTAAAAAACACGAAAAAAGAACCAAAAACCAAAGCCAGAATAGGAATTGGTTGTAAAATATAACAAAGAGTAAGCCACGACGTCCATAAATTCTATAGATAACAATAAAATTAAATAGTGGCCAACACAAACGTAACAAACACCAAACGGATTTGTAAACCCTATACTTGTTAATTAGTCGGTACATACATCGCTTGTTACAGACTAGCTTTGCTTATGCTGTTGTAGCGGATACCTAAACCTAGCTAATATGAATAGATAAATAGATTAATTTTGAGGTATGTACGGCGACCTATGGTCTATTGTGCCCTTCCCTAAGTCATATCGACTCATCAAGCCCCAGCATGTTGATAAACTCCAATATTCTGGTGGGTGCTAGTGAAGCGATACAATCCCTGTTTGGAAACATGGATCCCAGGGCCTTGAATTTGAGTCTGCAGACTGCTGTGCAGTTCATTAGCAGATGCTCTGGGGTGTCCGGCTCCATGTCGTAGAGCCGGCAGTTTGCAGAAGAGGCTAAGCCCATGTTGAAGAGATGCTTCTTGAGCCTGGAATGGCCGGTGTAGAACGCGACAAGCAGCCGGAATTTGTTCCTCGGGAGATTAATTACGGCTTTAAACCGTTTGAGGTCGTAGCCCCCATTAGCAGCCTGGCATGGTGCATGCCTTGAAGTTGTTGCCAATGTCTCTCCCTGCCTGCTCTTTCCTCCCTTCGGAGCAGCTCTTTAATGGTATGTGGACCAACCGTAGGAACGTAACCGGAACGCACCCGGATTTTTTCCGGCCAAGGACTGTCAACTCGACAACGTTCTGCCGCTACAACACCAACAACAACAATGGTTCCGGTCCTACCGTTTTTGTAGAGGCAGAGCGGGACAACTCGTCAGTTCGTTTCTGGCTATACCGCTGTGCCCAGGCACCCAAATAAGGTGGACTCGGTTGTGTTCTGACAGGCTGTTCAGCCGTTCTATACACTCCTGCACTAAAAGTGATCTGACCTCATAGGCAGAGATCGCTATTAGTGCCGCCTGACTATCGCTGAGTATAGCAATACTAATTGCGATAGTTGCGTTCGTGGTTTATCTCTACACACCGACTTATAGCATAGACCTCGGCTAGGAAAATGCTCAGAAAACTTCCCTTGGGAATGGAGAGTTTGGTGCTTGGCCCAGCAACCCCTGCACCAATCCCCTCCGCCGTTTTCGATCCGTCGGTGTATCACTTGATAGTGCTTTCCCTTAGCAGCAGGTCCAGTGATGAATCATTCCATTCCGCCTTGCTGCCAAAGGTGACTTTGAACTTCTTAGTGAAGCTTACTATTTTGGTAATGCTGTCCCTTGGGAGAAGGGCCAGTGGAATTTTCTCACTTAGCGCCTTCATCTGCTGGGACGAGATTACCTACCCTTTGCAAACTCCCTCTGCTGTCATTCGGAGTAGAGTCTGTTTGGCTGCCTGTTTGATTACCATATGTATCGGTGTAAGTTCTAGCATGACTTCCAGTGCTGCAGTCGGACACGTACGGAGCACCCCCAGGATTTCCCAGCAAGTCAGTTGCACACCATGAGTGCTTTCGTAGCCTTGGTTAGGGTGAGGTCCACATGCTGCTTCCATCGTAAAGTGGAATCCAGCGTCAGGCCCAGGTCCTTGACCGTGCTGGCCATCTCCACCACTCTACCGTCAAGGGATAGATTTCTGAAGCCTGGCAGTGACCTCCGTCTAGTGAAGGGAATGATTGTAGTTTTAGAGGGGTTGATGTTTAAGCCAACCCCACTACACCGTCCCTTTGCCAGCCCCAGTCCCCTCTGTACGATATCGCAGAGTGTGTCTGCGAATTTACTCTTAGCTATGATAACAATGTCATCCGCATATCGCTGACAGCGGATTCTATTGCTAGTTAGCAGCTCAAGAAGATCGTCCACAACTAGGCTCCAAAGTAGGGGGAATAACACTCCACCCTGTGGGCAACCTTTTGTTGTGCCAAGACGAATTTTGGTATCATCTACTGAGGTTTCAGCTACCCTGCCACACTCCTTTTCTCCAGTGCTCTTGACACGCTTTCGTAAGAAGTATTGTCAAAGGCACCTTCGAAATCAAGAAAGGCGCATAATATCACCTCGCCCCCATCTAACAAACTTTGGATCTCGGAGGTTAGCTGATACAGAGCAGTATTTGTTGATCTGCCTGTTCTGTAAGCATGCCTTCAGCACCTTCGATCGTATTTCGTAGTCTATGCTCTTTTCCATACTCTTAATCAGCAAGGAAGTGAGACTAATTGGCCTGAAGGATTTCGCCAATGCGTAGTCTTTCCTTCCTACTTTGGGTATGAAGATCACCTTTGCAGTGCGCCATGGTTCTGGGATATATGCCAGCGCTTGGCCATCTCTCATCAGCCGAACAAGGTGGGGCAGTAGTACCTGCTCTCCCTGTTGCAGAAATACTGGAAGGATGCCATCCGCACCCGGAGACTTATATTTTACAAAAGAGGACAAAGCCCACTAAATGGAGTATGCAGTGAAGAGCTGTTTTGCGACTATCCAGTCTAAGCGTGATGGCTTTCGTTCGACCATAGGTCGGATCTGGTCTTCTTGAATTGTCTCCAGGAAAAGCGCAAGTAGAAGAGCCGTGGCTCTTTCTTCTGCACTGGACGTAAATGTCCAATCAGATCTTTTAATTTCAGTACTGTGTCCGTCTTGCTTCTTGCCAGAGCCTTATGTAGCCTTGCTGACTCC